AAATATTATTCTTGGTTTTTCTTAAAATTTGATTGCCCTGAGAGAATAGTTTCCCTTCAATTTGTTTTTACTTTAAGAAATTTCATTGGAGAAGGGAAGAAATTTAGATGAGAAATGATTCTGGTACTGCATGTATTGTATAATTATTATCCACTATTCTAGAAGAAAATAGCATTTGCAAAAAACATTTGTAATGAAGAAAAGTAATATTAGCTACTTTTCTCTTAGCTGCTCTTGCCTTGTATCTCAGTGGATTGGCTAGAGCATGGATGTCAGACTCATGATGTCATGTTGCTTTCACGTGGCCTTTTATGACATTTTTTCCCTTTGTAGAGCTGGAATGGGCATGGCCTGCGCATGATGCATCTGGCCCCGGGCCGCCAGTTTGACACCTCTGGCTAGAGTATGAATGGAGTACCAAAAAGAAAACATTTGTTCCTATTTGCCTATAATTACGAAGCCAGTAACAACTATGATTTCAATATTTTAGTACTTTAAGCCCATATGTTATTCATTGCTTCTGTTCATAAATCATGCTTAGTGAAAATATTTTTCTGCTTGGTGTGACCCTTGTGTGATACAATGCTGTTGAATTAATTATTCAGAAAAATTAAACCAGTGGTTTTCTGAATTAAAAAGGGGATAACACAAACATAATGTAAGCAACCCAGAGTCACTTAGTTGAATTGGGATGCTATAGAAATAGAAGAAAGAAATATATTTTTCTTGTTATTAACAAATCTTGGTAAAGAGACCTGAAGTAGCATTTGCTTTTTATTAATTGTCTAAATATTTATATTATTCTCAAATATTGGGGTATTTAATTAGATCATTGGGAAATGGTTTGATTTCATGCAGAACTATGGGATATCGCTGTGCCTTGGTTATTTAGCTGGAGCAATAAAGAACAAAAGCCAGGTGTGTTCTAACATTTGACAATCTGCAGAACTTGGGGGGATTTGTAATTCCCTTACTAGGTAGAGTTAGTCACTATAATAAATAGCACACTTCAATAGATATTAGATCAGGACCAATTGATGAGGAATCCTGATTTTTCTTGACATAGACATTTAAAAGAAAAGCATAGAAGAATGATGGATGTATTTATGTATCCTTCTAATATTGCTAATGTTTATACCTGTTTTGTAGCATATGCAGTTAATATAATGATATAACCATCTGTGCTTCCAAACTCAAGAGCCTCTACCTTTAACCCTAGGTTCTAATTATGGAGTCCTGAAACCTGGATGATTTCTGTGCTTTGCCAGCCCTCCCTCCTATTCTGCTTTCCTCACATATTTCTGAAAGAGAGCTTAGGACAGACATTATGAGATCATTGCCCAATGGAAACTGTGATCTTAAAAAAATTGACATTCTGGTAACAATTAACAAAGTTCATCCATCATGGCTTAATATTCTTCTGTGTACTGGTTTCTAGCCAATGGATAGTCAGTAAAGCTTGAATTGCATTTTATAAATACTTTAAAACACAGTCGATCTCACCATCCAAGTGACTCTGTGCAGTTTACAAATAGAATCCGTATAAAAGAGACATCATTAAAAGCTAAATTAAAACAAAGTGAAGAACAAATAGAATAAAAACAGTCAAGTTAAAAGATGGCAGGAGCGCCTTCATCCCTTAGACACCTCAGGGATTCCTCATGACACTTGTCTTCGACCCTTCTGCCAATTGGCATAACTAACTCTACATGCTGTTCCATAAAATCAAAATGAGTGCTAACCGCACCTCTAGGAGCAAGATGTCTGACTTAGGCTTCCTGATACAGTAAAAAGCACATGCTTTGTCCCAAAAACCTTTATTTCAAAGGCTGTGAATTATGTTCATTCACAGCCCGTAATGAGTCACAAATAGTTGTAAAGAGTCCGACAGTAGTCTGCCAAAGTTTTTCAGGATAACGCTGATAAGCACTCACCTTTATTTTCCTTCAAATGCTGCCAAAAACCTAATTTGCAATTAGCTTGCAAGGCCACATGGAACAAAGAATCAAAAAGGAACTTCAGAAGTTAAACTGACCAGCACGAACAAAGTTGCTTCCTGCAAAGGCTCATGTGCCTTTGCTCCTCCTTTATGTCCTATGGGAAGGGCCAATCACCTCCAAGGCTTACTCCTGAGTCCCCTTTGTCTTAACCGTTCTTGCCTTCTGGCAGCTCTGTGCATGCGCGTACTGGGAAAAGGCTCTCCGTTCCTCTGCCTCACTGACACCCAACTCTGGAAACTCCAGAGGCAGCACATAACTCCCAGATGGCCCTGCCCCTCTCTCTGCCTCTGATGCAGAGATTTCATCCAAACCTTTCCCAGAGTCCAGGACTGGCCCATACTCCTCCCCCATCTCCTCACTGTCCGACTTTGCTGCCAGCTTCACAGGCTGCCAGCGTACCACAACACAAGATACTGCCTTAGGAAGGGGCAAGAGACTCCACCAGTAAAAAGTCTAACTGATATGGTCCCTAAATACTCCTCCTGCTTGATGGTACCCACTGATTAGACAAGATGGTTCCTCAGGTAATTTCTTAGCTTTCTCCAAGACCATGATGTGTAGGGAAGGCAGGCAGTTTTGAGAAATAAAACTATATGCAACAACCTATGTAATTGGGCAGGATATGTATTCATTAGGTAATAGTGTGGTTTTTAATTGCTGTTTTCATTTTTTTAAAGGGAAGGCTGGTATGTTCCCTCTCAAAATCATAACATTTAAACTACCGTAAGTAGTTGTGTGTCAAGTGAAAAATCATCAGGTAGTCCTCGACTTACAATATTTTGTTTAGTGACCGTTCAAAGATACAATAGCCCTGAAAAAAATGACTTATGACCATTTTTCACACTTACATGCACTGCAGCAGCCCCATGGTCATGTGATCAAAATTTGGATGCTTGCCAACTGATTCATATTTAGGAGAGTTGCCATGTCCTGGGATCAGGTGATCAGCTTTTGCAAACTTCTGACAAGCAAAGTCAATGGGGAAGCCAGAATTAGATAACAACAGTTGTTACTGACAACAAGTGTTACTAACAACTGCAATTATTCACTTAGCAACTGTGGCAAGAAAGATTGTAAAATGGGACAAAACTCACTTAACAAATGTCTCACTTAACAGCATAAATTTTGGGCTCAATTGTGGTTGTTAATTATAACTGTAATAACTGAATATTGCTTCCTTTAATAGTGAACTTGGATAGCTTGACTATTGATAGGAACCAAAATGAAACCACTGAGAAACATTGAAAAATAGGGGTTTTGATGCAAAATGATGAAGTTTGAAAAAGTTTGTTTTTTTAAAACTGTGTTAATGCCCTTTACTACCAAGTGCAGTCCAATTGGAACTGAACATTCTGAACAGACATAGTTTTGAAACTTGATTAGAAACTTTAAAAACAATAAAGGGAAAAATAATAATAATTGTGAAGCATGGCTAGATATTGAAGAGTATTTATGTTAGGGAGTCAGGAATTGTTACATTTGGCTCTATGGCTTACTTATAGTTATATTTCTTAACTTGTAATCCACCTGATATAGCTCTGAGATCATAATATAGGAAGTTTATAAAAGTATAAGCCTTGGTTTGCATAGTTCATGATGGAAAACAAGTGTAGCTAATATTTCTTTATATTCAGAAAAAGGTAGACTGATAAAGTGGGTATTTCCATCTCCATGCTATAAATATAGTCCAGAGAAGTGGGAGAAAACATTGAGAAACGATAAGCCAACAAGCTTTTTGCTGCTCAAAGATCGTTAGAAAAGTTCCTTCTACAACACATTTGAATATAACTGTTTTATCTTCTAGTAAATAACTAATAAATAGCCTAGCTTAACAATAGTATATCATATTGACAGCGATTCCTTTTTCTACTTTTGAAAATTTCCAGGTATTCTTTGATATACAGATTGGTGACAGAAATGCTGGCAGAATTGTAATCGGCTTGTTTGGGAAAGTAGTACCCAAGACGGCAGAAAACTTCATTAAACTTGCAACTGGAGAGGTAAGAGTTTTTTTAAAAAAATATTGATTAGTAGTGATTGATCCATTATTTTCTAGCAATAAGCAAAAGTTCAAGTTTTCCATTTCAGTTTAGTGTTGATGTCTTGAACCTTCTCCTCCAGGCTTGGCTGGTTTGGTGCAGAAAGAGAGCGAGCCGGTTTGCCAAACCCCAAAAATCCAAATGTCAGTATTTTGTAAATAAAACTAGTAATTGGTTGTTATGCCAGTGTAGTAATCAGAAAAACAGTAAGCCTTTTCCCTAGTTTCAATGAAAGGTTGTTGTATTTGGTCATTGTGTTGGGTGCCTTGGCAGGTTACTTTCAGGAATAGTTTTTTCTTTCTTTCTCAGGTTTGGAGACCTTTAGGGGGATGATCTCCAGCTAAATGTTTCAGCACCAAATTTATAGTGGGAAAAGAAAGGAGGGTCTTTTTAGTCTGAATATTTTTATTTCATTTTCATTTTCATTTTC